GTGCCCATTCTGCCCCCTCAGCCCCAGCTCTCCCTGCTCCCCGGCCCTGCTTGCTGTTAAGGGCGGCCGAGCAGTGGCTGGTACAGGCACTGGCACCTCCACTTGGCCCTGCGCCCGGTCCTGGGGGGGCACTGGGGGCGACATGCTCAGCTCACTGTGAGAAAGGTCAGAGTGCGCGGCGCTCTGGATCGGGCTCGGCCTTTCTTCCCATGCTGCCTTGCTGCTGGCCCACCGATGTATCCCAGAGGGCACTTCAGTGTGGGTCACCGTGACAGCGTCACCGCCAGGCCACTCGCTCCACTGTCTCCTGAGTTTCTCGCCTGCTGGCGCAAAGGCTTGTGGGCCGTGTTGCTGGCACGGTGCAGGGGTGCGCAGCTGGTGTGGTGTGGGGGGGGGCTGGCGCCAGCGCTAATCCGCTCAGCGCGGCGGAAGGCCACTTTCACGCAAGGCGACTCACGCTGGCGCCCGTTGATACAGCAGGGCGTGTTACTGCAGCCGCCTGAGAGACGTGCCTGGCCCAGGGGAACGACAGGAGAACCCACCCGGGATTTGAACCCGCGACCCCCGGGGTGTGAAGCCAGAGCCCCTAACCACAGCTGCAGAAACAGCAGGGGGGGGTTCTGCCCAGGCGCGACAGCCCCTGTGCATCCGTGGCTGGCAGGCTGGTAGAGGTGTCGTAGTCTTGGTCTTAAAGGGCCCAACAGCACCGTCACCATGAGCGCAGGATCTCATCGCACCGCTCCTGTCCGGCCCCTTGAATCTGTCCCGTGGGGCTGTCTCTGTACCTGTGTCACACACAGTTGTGGGTGATACTGGGGGGAGGGGGGGCCCGAGATCCCACCGCGTGTCTGTGAGAAGATGTACTGGGAAGGCTGGTGCTGGTGGCTGTCTGAGCCGGGAGCCCTAATCCCTCTGTGCTTTCCCACAGCCTGGAGGATTAGCCTCTCAGCGCGTTGTTAGTAAGTGGAAATTAATCTCATTTGTCGCAGTGAGAATCCATTTATGGAAATAAGGTTTCCCTCCCCATGCCTTATTAATTTACACACGATCGTGAAGGCTGCCCAGCTCCTGTGGCTGCTGCGGGCTGGTTTCTGTGCGCAACTTCTTTGCTTCTCTGTGTAAGCGAGGGACTCGGCTCCGACTCGTGTTGCTGGGTGCTGCACAGCGTCACGCCGTCCCTGGCTGAGCCACGGTGCTCTTGTTTGCTGTAGAAGTCCGGGCCGCTCGTCTGCCAGGACAGAGACGCGCAGCTGTCCCCTGTCAGACAGCTGAGCTGGTTCGGTCATGGCTCTGCAGGGTGAGGGAGGGAGGGATAACGGAGGAGGCCTGCAGTCACGCGATCCAGACGATTTAAACCCACTGCAGGCAGCTCTTCCCCTGCAGGGTCTTCACAGACCGGCCTCTTCGCCCAGGCCAGGCCTGAGTCAGTTTCGCAGCAGCTCATGGAGCTTTCCCATGTGCAGCACAGGCAAACGCACTGCACACAAAAACACACATACACACACACACTCTTGCACGCACACATACACTGACACACACTCACACACGAGCATGCACACACGTGCACGCAGACATTCATGCATATACACACTCACACACACACACACACACTCACGCTCACAAACACATGAGTGTGCACATTCAAATCACACACACTCACATATACACACACTCACACACATTCATGCACACAGGCTCAGTTTCTCCTCCTCCCTTTGTGCGAGGCGCTATATCACTCTGATAGTTCCTGTAACGCCACAGGACCAGGCCAACCCAGACACCTGCTGTGTGCTCTTCCCTGGGCCATCTGAGCAACCGTGAGAAACTGCTCCCCAGCAGGCACTGCAGGATAAGGCCCAGAGCGGCTCTGTCCGCTCACCTGGAAGGGGCCCGCCCTGGACGGGCCTCGAGCCCTGGACGGACCTGGCCTCGAGCGCGCTCCCAGTCTGTCTGGGATGACATCACCGTCAGCACGCTGGGGATCTGCGGCTCACAGTGTAACCGAAGGGACAGATAAAAGAGAAATACTGTAAGTGACAGGACAACGCGGGCAGAAAATATTAAATATCTCCAGTTGTGTAACTGATACGGCAGTATAAACCCATCTGTTAGCGATCAAACATGACCTCATGAAGCAGACATCAGGAGAGCCTGAAACTGAATCTGCTCTCCCCTCTCCGCACTGTCCTCCCCGGATTGAGTCATCAGCAGGCCTGGACCACACAGATCTGTCGGCCAAGCGCCGTTCCCATCTGTGACATTTCGGGGGTTTCTTTGAAACTCCCTTCGTGTCTTATGTCTGGTTTCCTTTTACTCGGATCCAGCCCCCGAAGCCGGATCGTGGCTGTCTGGGGGATTCTGGAATAAACACAAAGCACATCTGCCTTTGATACCCCTCCCCCCCGCTCCCAGGCAGGCCTCCCCGAGCCAGATCCGACTGAACGCGCTGGCGTCCTCAAACGGGTCAGAAGTACAGGAATTCAGCCCCAGTCTCTCTCCGATCGGGCTTGGACATCACCCGAGCCGAGCCGAGCCGAGCCGAGCCGAGCCGGTGTTCTGTGCGCAGGACCACAGTTCTTGAACAGAGCGGACCCAGGACCGGGAGAGCCCCCTGTGCAGCTCAGTCCCGGCCCCTGTGTGACTCCGCCCGCTTGTTCGCCCCTCTGGGACCATCCTCTCACCTGTCCGTCTGTCCCGCAGGGCGATCGGCTGCTCCTGCTGCCCGGGCAGACGGAGTGCGGGAAGGGCAAGTGTCCGTACGACCCCCACCAGAGGACGGCCACGGCCATCATTGGTGAGTGCAAGTGTGTGTGTGCACACGTGGTTTATGTGTGTGTGCATGTTCATGCGTGTATGGATGTGCGTGTGAGTACGTGTGTGCATGTGTCTGTATGTGTGCTTGTATGTGAGTGTGTGTGTGTGTATGCACGAGTGTGTGTGTGTGTGTGTGTGTGTGTGTGCGTGTGTGATGCTGAGTATCTGGTTTAACACTCTAGCTCCTGCAGATGCCGTCTGTACCCCTGGCTGCAGCAGGATTCCTCTTTCCATTTCATTTCTTTTGGCCAGAAAATGTTTTTTCCAGCAGGGTGGGCTGCCTCTCAATCAGTCACGGCCTGGGCTGGCAGGAGAGCTTCCCTTCTTTTTTCAAGACCCGTTGGAGCGTAGCTGTAACCCCTGACTGCGTTTGGGAACACGGGCCCGTGACCTGCTGGGCAGCTGAGGCTGCCTGTGGCCTGTTCTGTCTGTCGGGCGCTGAAGTGGGCAGGCAGACCCTGCACACAGCTTGTAAACCAGTTTGCGGCACGTTTTCTTCTGAATTGGTGTCACCTCCTCTCAGGAGTGGCAGACAGCACAGCCAATCACAAGCCAGTGCTTCAGGCAGAAGAGCATCTTAATGCAGTCGAACAGGTGACAGGATGCAGTCGGTAATGCAATACTGTGATAGACATCCCGGCAAGACCGGTACTGAGCTACAGACACCTGTAGCTGGAGGGGAGGATGTGATCTGAGACACTGAGCTGCGTGTACACCTGGTACAGCTCACAGGGGATGTTCGCTGCAGGCTTACAGCGGAGCTCCAGAGGTGTCAAATTTATACACTCAGCCTGTGGCCTTGCCAGTCCGCTCCATTCCGGAGTTTTGCAACAGCCAGCTCCTTGATTGCTTAATTGGATGACAGCGGGCTCGACGAGTCAATCAATGAGCTGGTTAGCCCAGAGAGCTGCAGCGGAACGGACTGTAGGGGCCACAGGTTGGTGAACCTTGACGCGCGGGCTACATGCCTGGCAGAGGAGTGGGCTCTGGACCGATCGCTGATCTGCAGGGCAAAGGAATCGATCGTTTACCTTTGGCTGTCCAAAGTCTCACTGCAACAGAAGACCCGGATCTTTCTCGCAATCGTCCATGTTTTCCTGGAGACACACCGGAGCTCTCCCCCAACTCCCCCCCCCCCAGCAGCAGAGAGGAGGCAGCTCCTGGCAGCGGGGGCTCACTTCTCCCCCGGGGGGGTCCGGGCAGCGAGCCGGGCTCCAGCAGGGCTGGCGTCAGTGAGTGGGGGGCCGGCACACAGCCGGTGGGCTCCCCTGCTCCGGTGCTGCCTTGTAACGAGAGACAGTAAAATGCGTTTTGTTTTAATTCTCACTTCCATAAATGAATGAACGTGTGGTTTCCTCTCCATGAGTGGAGAGGAAAGGAGCTCGCCGGGATGATTTGCTCAGGCTCCTGGCGGGAGGGGGGTAAGGATCTAACCTTAGCCCTCCTGGAGCGAGTTGGCAGTGGTACCCATGAGCCTGGTACTTCGGAATCACGCCTGCCTCTCCGCTCTGTCACCTGTGGCCTGCGGCCCGCCGTCTCTCCGCCAGCGCTCGGCAGGGCCTTAGCGACGATGTCATGTTCTCATTCCTCATTCCTCGGCCAATGTCTGATCTCTCCGTCTGCGAGAAGGGGTTTTCCACATTGGCGCGCAGTCCAAGACACGGAGCTTCAAAGGCATCACAATGAATTCCACTCCGCACACCATGTGACTCTTTAATAGGGCAGGAATAAAATCAGAGTCTGTTCCAGCGCCGCATAATGGGGATCTGTTTTGAATGTTTCTCTGGACGGGCGTGCGTCTGTTTTCCTGGGGAGTTACTGGCATGGAGCGGCTGCAGCCTGCGTCTGCTGGAGTCTCTGTTTCAGGGTGTGGGGGAGGTGAGGACGTGGCCGCCCGCCAGCGTTACAGCTTCACTGATTCAGAGTCCCCGCTGAAATAAACTCACTGCCGGGGCAGATACATCTTTACAGGACCCGGAGCTTTCCGAAAGGACACCTGCAAAAATACTGCAGCTATCCAGTTTTCCCTCAGGTGTACCTATCCTGACAACACTTTATTGATTCAAGATATTATTATTATTATTATTAATGACTTTTGGCTTGTGCTTTTTATCCAGAGCCGTTTAATATTGTTGCATAGGAAAAGCCTCATTAATGCAGTTCAGGCTCGTGGGGGAGCCTGAGCTTATCCCAGCAATCAATGGGCAGAAGGCATCCTGGAGGGGCCGCCAGTCCATTGCACACACTCACACCAGGGCCAGTTCTCTGAATTAACCCATGCGTGTCTTTGGACTCTGGATGGAAACAGAGCACCTGAACAAAACTCTTGTGAACTTGGGGAGAACATGCAGACTGAACCCAGGGCCCCAGCGCTGGGAGACAGTCATTCGAAATCTCCGCTCCACCATGCTGACCCAAATTTCAATTCCAACAACGTCTTTTGTAATAAGTAAGTTTTGGTAACTACATGATGTAGCACAAGAGTTACACGGGGTAGAAAGGAGTGAGATTCTTCTTGCGGCTGGTGAGCTTCTCCGGCGGACCTGTCCACGCTGCTGTAGGTGGGAGGCCCAGTTAGGGCGACCCCTGCAGGAAGGGGAGTGTCGGTGCAGCTGCGTGTGGCGTGATCCCCGAGCGTCGGATCCCTGGGAGCCCCCGGAGAGCCTGCAGGGCCCTACGCTGATGCTGTGGCCCCCCTGTGCTTGCAGATGGGGAGCTGTACGCCGGGATCTCCTCCGACTTCATGAGCCGGGACACGGCCTTCTTCCGGAGCCTGAGCAGCCGGCACGTGATCCGCACGGAGCAGTACGACTTCAAGTGGCTGCAGGGTGAGTGAGGCCGCCACCTGCTGGGTCAGACGCCAGGGCAGCCCCAGGGCTGGGGTTATTCCTGGGGCGTCCTTCTCTCGGTGTGGTGGAGCAAGAGGGGGACCCCCCCTCCCCCCCCCAGAGCTGCTGGAGGGGTGTCAGTGTGCCCCCGTGTCGCTGCCCTGTTCACGTAGGGCCAATGAACCCACAGCCCTCGCGAGTTTTCATTTCGGGCCACTTCCGAAACGCGGACTGCTCTCTACGCGGATCCCTCCCTCCCTCTGCGGTAACTGAGGACACTGTTTAAGTGTGAAAGAGAGAGGAGGCTGGAGGAAACTGGGTGGTCCCGCGACTGGAGCCCACACAGTGACAAATATTTACCTTACCGCCCCGCGTGTGTGCTCCAGCTCCTGCCTGGCACCCTGTGAGCGCCCCCTGCAGGTCACCCTGCTGCAACTGCACTGGGGTAGAGCAAGAGCCCCCCCCCTACACACACACACACACACACACACACAGAGACAGTAAATTGTACACTCAGGCTGGTTGAAAAGCACAGGGGGGCCGGCAGGGTGCTGCCTGGCCTGGCCTCCTCTCAGCCAATACCCAGCAGTACGAGTGTCCGTGGGCGTGTGGGCGTGTGGGCGTGGAAACCAAAACCCCGCTCTCAGTCTCCCCATCTTTCTTGTGGAACCTCAAAAAGCGAGACTTTTCTACAGCAACACACGTGGGGGAGGGAGAGAGATTGCAGGAGGCTCTTTTGATCTGCTTTTCCCGTGCTGTGAGTTGCATTGCCTCCTATCCCAGCGCTGCAGGGGTTAACGAGCTCCGGGAGCTCCTCCCGGTGACGTCCCGGGATGTTCTGGCAGGTGTTGTCCCCCCGGAGCCCGAGGGAGGAGACAGTTAGTCGAGCCTGAAGGCCGAACCTATAACGCACTCCAAGGCACCCCTCCACTGAAAACACAAGAGCAGCCGCCGTGACATCAATCGCGCAGACTAGTCAGCTAGTTCGGGAGTCCCCGAAGCCGGCAGGTTATAAATCTCAGTTTGGCTTTGTGAAATCAGGGGCGTGTGCTGTTGAGAAAAATGATGCACGTGGCCTACACGGGGAAGAGAAATCCCAAAAGTGCTTCAGGAAGAAGCCCAGGCCTGGTTGTCCCATAATAATCCGCTGGTCCGCACCCCCCTGCCCAGGCCCTCTGCGACCTGTCTTTCTGGCCCGCTCCTCACCCCCCTGCAGGGGCCCCCCCGTGTCCCGTGTTTCTGGCCAGCAGCTCTTTAACCCCAGTTTAACTCCCTGACTGCGACCTGCTGCCTTTTACAGCCTCATCTGTGAAACCCATTTCCTCGTCTTGCACACTCGGTGTGGGGGTGACCGAGGTCAGCAGCCAGGCAGCTGTAATCCGGTGGTCCATTCACAGCAGCACTGTCCATTTGGAGCGCACTTGAGTGAAAAAGCTGTATGTCTAAACCCCAAGTGTCCGATAACTCGTGCGTTTGAGAGGACGCAGGTGGAAGCTGGAAGTGGATTGAGCACCGGAGGCACTTCCTTACCCAAAGAGTGGTGGGGGCGTGGAACAAGCTGCCCCGCCCTGTTGTTGAAGCTGACACCCTGGAGCTCTCGGCCCGCGGTCTCGAGGCGAGCTCGAGGGGGGGGGTCGTCCCTAATCTTTCTTCTGTTCCTTCTCCCCCCCTCCTCAGACGCCAGGTTTGTGAAGGTGGCGTCCGTGTCCGAGAGTGGCAACCCGGAGGACGACAAGGTGTACGTGTTCTTCACGGAGCGCGCCCAGGAGGCGGAGGGCTCGGCGGGCTCGGCGGGGAAGGTTCTGTACTCGCGGGTGGCCCGGGTCTGCAAGGTACAGTGGCGCCCCCTGCCTTTCCTCGGCCTCCTCCCGGGCCC